CAACCCTCAGGCTCCCAGTGGGTGCTGCCACATGGTCAGCACAGTGATACACAGGTGCCCTGTCAGACCATGGCCTCAGCACGACCTGGCAGTGAGGTTTCTGCCCCCAGCTCCCTGCTCCAGCACCTGCGGCTCCCTGGGAACTCGAGCTGGGAGCAGGAAGGGTCCTGCAGCCAGCCTGATGTCCCCCCATGTCTCGTGCCATGATACACACTGCAGAGCTACACCTCTCTGCCAGGATGCTGCCCCAAGTTCCAGCTGCTCCCTGTGCCCATGTGCCAAGCCTAAGAGGGGACAGCGGATCAGGGGAAAGAGTTTGGGCTGGACAAGAACATCTCCCACTTGGGGTTATCTGAAGGGCTGGTAATTTCCCATCTCCTCCCCATCCAGAGGGACCCTGGTACCTGTTCCCCATGGGATGTCACAGCCTCCTGCCTCAGTTTCCCCATCCTCACAGTGCTCTCCCAGAGACAGAGACAGCAGCATGGTTGGCAGAGGATTCAACAGGGTCTCTAACCTGATCCTCGCTCCGGATCACGGCAGGGCCCTCTCTGCTCTCCCCCTCCCCAGCCCCTCCTTCCACACGGTGCTGCCACACAGGGGGGATTTTGGCTCCCAAGGTCACTGACGGATGGGTCTGGGGGCAGACACCCCCACCTTGTGCCCAGTCAGCTTTGCTAACCACCCCCTCCGGGTCCTGGCTGCTCCCTGAGGCTCGGCTACCCCCGCAGGTGTCCCTCTCCCTCCCCCCTCTCCCCAAAAAGCAAACATCCAGGGAGATGGGCTCCGCGCTGCAGCTCTGCCGGTGGCACTGGCGCTGAGCAGAGCAGACTGCAGCACGGCTGTTATGTAAGCCCGAGCCGGGCTCCGGGGATGTAGGACACCGGGGTTATCCCCCGGCCCCCCCCGGGGGCTGCCACCCCCTCCCCACCTCAGCCACGGGGCTCACGGGGCTCGGGGGGAAACGCCACCAACTCGGCCAACACTGCAAAGGGTTCAGCGAGGCTTGAGGTGGCCCTGGGGGTTGCTGTGGCCCTGCTGTGGGGCACACGGTGGTGGCAGGGGGGCAGCAGTGGGGGGGGCAGGAGGGATGTGCTGCTCTGGGGTAGGAAGAGGGCAGGGAAAGGGGTGGGATGGGGCTGAGAGGCAGAAGGTGCTGTGCCCACATCCCTCTGAGTCCTTCTGGACTCACCAGGGCTCACCCGTGCAGGGGAGCTCAGGGATGGAACCAGGTGGCCACTCCTGGGCTGTGCCTCCCTCGGAGTGACTCAGAGAGCAGGATGAACATGGCCTGGGCGAAGGATCCCGGTCTTATCCCGTCCTGCCATGTCTATATTCCCATCCTCACATATCCAGCGGGTCAGCATCCCTGTGATCAACCTCCTGGGGGTCAGCATTCCCAGGAACAGCATCCTTGGCATTAGCATCCCTGGGACAGCATCCCAGAGGAGAACATCCCCGGTGCTTCTAGCACAGGCTGGGGAGCCAGGATCAGGATTTCCCAGAGCCGGAGGGAAGATCCTTCCCCTGCGGGACAGCCTCAGCATCACCTGCACTTCATCCCCGCAGGGAAACGGAGGTGAGGGACGGCACAACCAGCATCACCCATCCCCAAAACACCTGTGCCCCTTGCTGGGGGCACGGCAAGTGGGCAGGCAGTGCTGGCAGCAGAGAGGCTCTCCCAGGACCAACCCTATCCTGGCTGGCAGACCACGGGAAGCCTGGCAGCATCCCCTGCCACGGTGCGGGATGGGCACAGGGCTGGGGAGCCCACGGCCCCCCAAACACGTGGCTTCTCTCTGGCTTTCTGCCAGGCATGGTCTGGACGTGGCCATCTCTGTTTGGGGGTGTGTGACGGGGGAAAAAGCCCAGGCTTAAGGCTCCCAGCGATGGGAGATACCAGAACAGGAAATTAATGTTAATTAATTCATAATGACGCTGAGATAGTGATACCAGATGCTTCAAAAGTCCAACGGGGGAATCTGAAAGAGCTTTGTAAAAAATCCATCGCCCACCGGCAGACCTGCCTTGCTGCAAGCTGGGAACGAGGGAGTGAGCTGGGAACTGGGGTCGAGCTGGGATCCAGGATCGAACTGGGACTGAAGGACCAAGATAGAACCAGGGAAAAAGCTAGGAACAAGCCAGGAATGATGGAAGAGGGGCATAGCCCAGTAAGGTGACAGGCTTACAGTCACCCCCAGTCACCTGCCATCCTACTCCCACCTTTCTCCCTCCCACCTCTGTTCAGAAGCTGGAGTGGAGCCGGAGCAGTGAGGCACACACCGTGCTCTGCTCTCAGGAGGGCAGGGCCTTTCCCAAGCCCCTTAACGCTCATTTTTTTTTTGTTTCCTTTCCTCCATTTCGGGCACACTGTGTGCAGAGCAGGTGGACGGGTGAGCACTGGGGCACACAGGGGCCCGCAGCAGGGATGGAGGGACAGGTTCATGATCTGGGACAGGGACACAGGTGCTTTGCCAACCGGTGTCCCTACACTTGGAGGACAATTTCTCCCTCCTCATCCGTGACAACCAGCCCTTGCTCTGCACTGCCGAACCCGAATTAGGCTGGACTTTAGCCAGGGGGTGCAGAAGAGGGGCTTGAGCCTGATGCCAGCTCCCCAGGCCTGGGGACCCCAGAGCCAGCGCCGGGAAGGATGAAATTGTGAACTCCACAGAAACCACGGACAAACCCCTGCGCTTGGAGCCGTTCACCACCCTGTCCCCCCAGGACAGTGCGGGCATGATGCTCCTTCCCATAGGGATACAACAACCCCTGCACCCAGAGGGGAACCCCAGAATGGGGAATAAGGGAGGTGGCAGAGGTCAGGCAGGGTCCAGCAGTGGCAGAGCAGGGTGGCACGGTCGGGGCACGGCGCTGCCATCGCTGCTTACATAAGGTGCCCGCTCCGAATGCCACACACCCGAGCGGCGACAGGAGAGGGGATGGACCCGTCCCTCCTGCAATCCCTCACAGTGACAGCGCTCCCACTCTTTCTAGACAGCACCCCCCAAAAACTGCCAACCTGGCCTCTTTCCACCTGCACAGAGGTTGGGTGAGGTTGCCGTGTCTCTCGGGCACATTCACACCCTACAACCTGACACAAAGGGGGTGGAAACGCCGGGTCTGAGCTCGCCGTGCAGTTCCCCCAACAGCTCCTGCGAAGTTTATCCGCAGCGGGAACGGTTTCCACTGCGCTGCCGGGGAAGCTGCCCCGGCCGACAGGGAGAGGGGGAACCCCACTGGGAACATCAAGAAGCATCACGGAGCACCACGGCACTGGGGGGACATCGACATCCCACCCCACCTGCTACCGAGGGACTTGCTGTATCCCCAGGGGTCATTCCAGAGCTCAGAAAAAAACCCTCCTTGACTTCACAGGCGAAGCAACTCTTTTGGTTAAAGAGCAGCAGAGGCAACACAGGATTTCAAAGTGTGTTTTGGATCAGAGGCAAGAAATCAAGTGGCCTTTACCGTGCCTTCCCCAGCAAAGCCAGAGCTCTATTAAGCCTATCCGGCACAGACGGGAATGCTCACTGTTATTCCAGGCCTGAAAAGAGCAGGCAAGGATTTTTTTAAATTTTTTTTTAATATTTTTTTTGGTCTTGTTTTCATTATTTTCTGGTGGCTTCATTGCTTTGTGCTCACACAAAGGGAATTTCACCTGCTGTTCCAAACAAAAGGCCCCGGAAAGTTTTGCAGAGAAGGGGATGAGGGGAAGGAGATTTATAGAAGCAAAACGAGTTGTTGCAGGGTTTGTTGTGGATATTTTTTTTTTTTTTCACGGTGAGCTGTGAAACATCCCCAGCTCTTTGGTGCCTGCAGGAGACCCAGCACGGCCTTGCAAATCCCCTGACCCCACCAGTGTCACCCCTGGCATGGGGAATGGGGAGGTCTCACAGAAATTGGGGTTGATTTGGGGTGCAGAGGGAAGGCATCAGGACTGTTTCCCATCTTCTTTGCAGGCAAAGTCGTCGCCACGCTTTCTAAGAACAGGAAAGAAAAAAATCCAGCCCTCGTTTGCTGACACCACAGCAAAACAGGTGGTTCAAAATCACAAGAGCAGTGGGGGAGAAAAAAACACCACCCCTATTTGGTGATTTTGTGCTCACATTCGCTGCAAAACTGTCCGGGAACGAATGCTGCTAAATACACACCATTTTTCCCTCTCACACTCTTCGCTCTATAATTAAGAGAGACTTCTAAAAATACGAACGGCCTCGAGCACCCAGCGAAGGCGTGCAGGTGCTGCAAACTGGAGGCACTTTAGTACAGCTCATTTTCTGGACAATTTTACTCGCCTGGCTCGTGCTCAGCGCCGATACTATTACAGTGATGCAATTATGCTGCTGCTGCCGCTGCCGCGCTCGGCTCGCTTTGCTTTTTTTCCCCTGCGTTTCGTAGTTTGCCTTCGAAGCACCCCCCCCCCAACCCCACAGCTCCTGGGCTCACCCCGAGCGTGTCCCTGCTCCGGTGGGGTCTGAGGAGTTGGGGGTAAGAGGGTCAGGCGAGCGTGTGTCACACACGCATGTGGATCCACACGTGTGGGCGCAGAGGGGCACAACCCCGCGTGGGCATTGCCAAAAAACAACCGGCGTGCAAAAGTTTTGGGTGAGCAAGCGAGCTGGCCCGGGGGAAGCAGAGGGGGGAGCAGGAGCACGGCGAGGAACCAGCGTTCCCCCAAAAGGCAGCAGCAAACCCTCGCTGCTGGCTGGGCAGGGAGGGGGGCCCATGGCACTGGCACGATGAGGGCGGCCAGCCTGGCTATACATCCCCCCCAGCCTGGCATTTCGGGTACAGGGGTGAGGGGGAACTTCCCCCGAGAAGCTGCCGCTGCGAAACTTCCCCGTCTTATTTCTCCATTAGGGCTGCAATAGGTGGAAGTGATTGACTCACTATGAGACTGCTGTTTTTGCCTCTGACTTGGGATTAAGACGGAGCTGGAGGAGCGGAGGAGCCGTCGCCCCGGCTCTCTGGCGGCAGACACCGGAGCCGGCACTTACCTCTCACTGCATCCAGCCCCCCCGGCCGTGGGGCTGCGGGTCCTGGAGAGTTAGCTGGCAGGGGACCCCACATCCACTCGGGTTTCTCCCAGGACCGATGTTTGGCTGCTGCTTCTTAGGCACAGACCCAACCCCTCCATTCCAACCACAGGGGAAAAAAAATAATATATATATATCTTCTTCCAAAAGAAAGAAGGAAAAAAAAAAGGGAGGGAGATTAAAAAAAAAAAATAATCAAACCCCACGCTTGTTTTCTTGGTTCGGTTTCTCCCTGGAGAAAATAAGCAAAATAGATAAATCCCAGCGACCAAGAGATCCAGACTCAGGTGAATTTAGCTTCAAACTCCCTCTGTGCTTTCAGAGCCTTCACCCTCAAATGGGCTCTGGAAGATGCTGGGGGACCCATCGTTGCCAAAGTGTCATCAAATATCCTTCGGGCTCAACTCCGCTCCTGCCCGGGGAGGGTGGACTTCTTCCCTGCTTGCTGCGTGCTGTGGAGTTGGCAGGGACCTGCCTGTTCCAGCCTCAGCGTGGAGGGTGGGTGGGTTGGTTGGTTGATGTGGGTTGGTTTTCTTTTTTTTTTTTTTTTTTTTTCTCGCCGCTATTGGTTTCCTTGCTATCTGATCCTGAGCGAGCGCTGCAGCCTCGCCGCTTCCCTGCTTTTTTCCCCCAGCTCCCAGGCTTTTGACAGGGAATGAAACACAGACACCCAGTGAGACAGGCTCCGGCTTCTACAAAGCTCCACTCCCTCCTGCTGCCTTTGTCCGTGAACAGCAACTCCTCCAACTCTGCCCGTAGACACGAGGGAACCTCTGCATCAGCACTTTCCTAATGGCTGCTTCGCCCCAGCCCTTCGGCCCTTCTTCTTCTTCTTCTTCTTCTTCTTCTTCTTCCTCGCTTCCTCTCCTCCACCTTGATGGCTTCCGCTTGCTTTTTCTAGCTGGGCCCCGGCTCCGACAGCCACAGCCGGAGCGAAGCAACAACCCTTTCCCGATGGATCCATCTCAGCTCCCCCGCGCCGGCTGCTGCGGTCGGGGGGTAGCGGCCCCGCAGTCCATCACCGTCCTTTCTGGGCACCTTCCACGAAAAATCGATGGCGGGTACCACGTCCCTGAAGGCTTCACTTTCTGGTTTAAGGGGCAGGGGCTGCGTGTGCGGAGAGGAGCCAAGGGAGGGCTGGGTACTGAAGCCACTTCTTTTTATTGCAGGCGGGGATTTTTTTTTTATTTTATTTTTTTTTTAAAAAAGATTGACCGGAATCCAAGTTTACTCCTTGGTGGTGAGCATTATTTTAAGCTGTTTGGGTGTCTCCGGGTCACCCTGTTCTTATAACAGAGAGGCCTTTTTGGAGAGGGCCGAAGTGAAACCTTGCTCCCCCAGCCTCTTTCCCCCCGTGGAGGGGAGCAGGAGGCAGAGGATGCTGCAGTGGGCTCACAACCCCGGCTGGCTCCCAGCCAGAGGGAGATGCAAACCAGCCACCGTCTGTAATTTTTGCTACACTTCCTCCACACTCGGTCACCCGCGAGATCCCAGGGCTGCTGCCTGTTCCTTTTTTGGGGATTCACAGGCTTTGTTCAAAAAAAAAAAAATTCACCGCCAGGAGACCTCCAGCCTCGACAGCGACGCTCGGCCCTGCTCAGAGTGGCTGTCGCGCAGCAGGCAGGTCACAGAAAAGCCATAACGCCCCCCAGACCCCAGCACATGGAGAGGCTCCCTCCCCACCTGCCCTTTTGCATCACCTCCCACTCCTTCCCAGCCTCCCCTTCACTCTTCCTTGTCTCCCACCACAAGTTTGGGATCGGTAACTCCTCCCTCTCCCCTTCGGCAGCATCCTGGAGCAGTGACTCTCCTCGTCCTCAGCTCCCGTTCTCTCCCTGGCACACCAAGGGAGCATCGACCCCTCACTGCTCCCAAACACCCCGAATTCAGAGCGTCTCAGGGCAATGCTCACAGTGCTGCCTCCGCACCCCTCTCCGCACTGGTTTATCCATCTCACCCCATTCCACCAACCTCACAAACACTGAATTTTAACCAACACTTCAAAATCCTGGGATGAAAAGCACCGCAGGGCCTTGTTCTGTCCAAACCCTGATGGATACTCAGCAAGGATTTGGGGTTTGCAGGTTGGAGGCAACACCAGCTCACACATTGGGCATGGTGGTCTTGAATAAGACCACCCAGGGGCTACCTGACCACAGAACACTGCTCCCTTCTGCCTGTCATGCAGCTCCTTGTAGCCTGGCATTCTCCTCTCTGAGGGCTCCTCTCCTGCCATGCCACCATGATCATGGAAAGATTCCCAAATCCCTCCCTGCCCTGATCCCCAGCCAGCAGTGCTAGCCCAAAGCTCCCTCCACTCCCTCCAGCAAGAGATACAATTAATGCACCCAGTAGCCAAAAAATCGGCCAAAGAGCTGGGGTGGGCAACTGGCCACGGGTCAGGGGCACTGTGAGGGGAGTGGCTGCAGGGTCCCCAGTCCCAGCCCTCTCCCACTGGTTACTCCCCAGCTGGGTGCTCTACTGGGGCTTTTTTCCAGCAAGTGAGAGATTTGGGGGATAATATGCAGGGAAACACGTGGGCACCCTGGGGGGTTGCAGCCCTTGGGGCCAGCTGGGAGGGCAGGATGAAGCTGGGCATCCAGAACTGGTGAGGCTGGTGTTCCCACCACCTGGCTGTGCTGGTGGCTTATCCCTCACTCCTCAGTTTGCCACAGGAAATGCAAATAAATAGCCTGGGATTTCCATCCCAGTAAGCCCCAGGTTCCCTCTACTCTTGGGCGGTAGAGAGGTTCCCCATTTTTTGTCATCAGGGTTGGGCAGTGCCAGAGGGAAGTGTGGGCACAGGACCACATCCCTGGGAACCCCTGTGTCCCTGGTGGGCTCCCAGCAGGGGAACAGTTCCAGGCAGGATCCAGCCTCCCCTAGGCCAGCTGTGGCCTCTCTCTCAGGTGCTGTGGAAGTGAGGGAAGGAGGGCAAGGGGATGAAACGAGGGGTGCACCCTGGTGGGGTCTCCGTCGAGCCCCTTTTCCGACGCCTCCAGCGCGGCTGCGCAGGGCAATGAGCAAGTCAGCACAGAGCCATTAGGGCTAATTTAATCAAGACGGATGGCCCGATTGGAGGGCTGCCGTCCATAAATCCCCCGCTCCCGCTGCATTAGTGTCAGGCCTCCCGGAGGAAGAGGCCGAGGGGGAGGCGCGGGGGGAGCAGAGATGGGGAAACGTGCTAAGTCACCCATCCTCCTGATGGCACAGGGCCGCTCGGACTGGGTGCCACCACCCCATCCCACAGTGAGCAGCCTGGCCCCAGGGGACATGCCCACCATCCTCCGGCCCCTCTGAAAACTCAGCAGCTGGAGAGGGCGAGGTTTCAAGCAGCCTGGGTTTTCTGAACCCCAAAAGGTGCAGGGGTTGTTCACGAATCCCCCAGGGCAGGGGTTTGCTCCAAAGGGAATCTCCCGCACTCACCTCAGGGAGTTTTGCAGCAGGAGGAAAGTGGAGTGCTGGGGGGAATAGGCTTGAAGCCCCATGGTGGGTCACAGTGTAATAACTGGGACTCAGAAATACAGTCTGAGAAAACCCAAAGGCTGATGGATGTAGCATCCACCCCAGAGCCCAGCGAGACACCCCAAACTCAAGCCACACCAGCCCAGGATGGCACTGGTCACCCCTCTGGAGTACCAGCTCTGTTCTTCCAGCAGCCCACTCCCTTCCCACTGCTGCTCTTCAAAGAGACCATTTCAGGCTCAGGGTTGCCATCTGATGACCCAAAACAGCCACATCCCCGCATCCACCGGGCACGGGCAGCGGAAGCCACGCGTGCCGCCGCGCCGCGAGATCCAAGCCAGGAAATGAGCTCTCATCCATCCAGGTTAAAAATAGCCGTGAGCTTTGCCGCTAACGCGCCTTGCCCTGGCGCTCCAGCCGAGCTGGCTACCGTGTCGCCGCCCGCCTGCCCACCCAGCCCATCGTGCTCTGGGCCGAAAACCGGCCGAGGGAAGGGCCCGGTCAGCTGCCGCCATCTGCTCCGGGCACTGGCACTGCCCTCGGCATGGGATGCCGGTTCTGCCAGGCCGCGCTGTTGGCCGGTACAGCCATGAGGAGGGCCAAGTCCTGGTGGGTTTTGGGAAGATGATGGGCCAGGGGATGCGGCAGATGGATGGGAGGACGGCATGGGTTTGTGGGCAGCGCTCTCGCCCCCAGGGCATTCACGGAGGTTGCGTGGTCGCCTGGCAAGGGAGGAAACGGGTGCTGGCCCAGTGCAGAAGGAAAGATACTGGTGCAACGGGGATGGGAGGTGACTGGGGGATCTCAGCCTGGGAGAGCAGTCGAGGATGTCCAGGAGCAGCTGGGTGATGGAGAGAGGGATGCTCAGCCCTAACCTCCATGTTCAGAGCACCTCGAGGGCTGTCCTGGCAGATAGCAAGGAGCACAACCAAAAGAGCTCAGAGTGGTTGACCTCAGGGAATTAGGAGCAGTGAGCTGTGGCACTGCCATGGATTTATCTGGAAAAAGGATAATGCACATCCCTGTGCACCTCTGATTTCTGGCTGCACTTCAGTGAGGCCAAGAGGGAGGGAGGGAGGGCAGGGAAGGAGCTGGACTGCCGGCAGGAGGAGCACGGTGGCCGAGGTCAGTGCTCACGGTGCCTTTGTGAAACCACAAGTGAGGTCCCAGGGACCAGGAATTGCTGACTGGGGCAAGAATCAGTCACTGACACTCAGGGATGCAGAGTGGATCTCCATAGGTTGGCTGTGAGCAGCACCATGTCCAGAGGGTCTGGCACCCTGGGCTCAGCACCTTTGTATCTACTCAACCAGGAAAGAAAAGCAAAGGCAGGGTTGGGCCTGAGGAACCACCAGTCAGGAGCAATAACCAGTTCCATGAAAAGCCATGGAGCAGGTGAGCTGTTTCTCCCCCAGAATGGCTAGCACAGGGAAAAACAAGACATTTGAACTTCTGCCAGTTGACAAAATGAAATGCCACGTGTAGCCAGTGAAACTCTGCAGATTTTGCTAATAAAGGATTGATCCACCCAGCTTCCAGCTGGATTCCAGCCCCAGCCACGACACAGACACCGGCAGCATCAGCCGTTGCATCCCAGCACTGGTGCCACACTGAGGGCTCAGGCTCTCTGCAAACCCAGACACTGCCCCACGGCAGGGACACAGATCCCACGGCCAAGCTTGCTCCCACCCTTTTCATCCCCGTGTTTGCCCTGGGGACCTTGCTGCTGGGATAGCACTGTGTCCCTTGGGAGACTCTAACACATCTCAGGAAGTTTTCCCATTCTATTCAGCTTAATTTCACCCATTAGAGCTCGTTTCAGCAGGGTCCCCAGGGAAAGTCACTCCCCAGCATCTTCCTCTCACTCTTCCTCCGCTTCTCTCCTCCTTCACACTCAAACATCTCACCTCGGGGAGGCTGAGCCTTGCTCCACCATGAGCAGTGCTGGTCCAAACAACCATACCCTTCATAAAACATGTCCCTACATCATCCCAGAGGATTTTCCATGTGGTCACAATACTCTTTTTAGGAGTCCAAAGTCAATGGCCCTTCCTGACTGCACGCAGAGAGGCCCAGGCCCTGTCTAGGACAAACACTGAGGAGACCTTGGCCAGAGGTGGGATCCTGCTCCTTATCCACAGGTGAAGAGCAGAAAAAGAGCCAATTTGGGAAAACCACGAACCCTCAGCACGCCACCACCTCAAGATCAGGCCAGAGACTCTGTTGCGCTGGGATCCCGCACCGAAAATATGTGATAAACCAGAAGGTGAGAAGCTTATCTGCTGCTGTCCTGCCCTGCCGTGTTTGGGAGGAGGATTTGGGGCAGCAGATGGGAATTCCTAGACTTTGTGCATAAGCTTGGTGGCCCAGGCCAGCTGGGATGAGCACAGGTTTGGCTTTCTACCATGGGGTGCTCCCAAAAGAACAGCGAAGGGCAGCTCCCCTGGGCCCCCCACAGTGTTCAAAGCACCCAGGAGAGACCATGGAGCCCCCTTCAGCTCTCCTCACTCCTCAACCAGTGCTCAGCTCTCCTTTCCCTCATCCAGAGGGCGGGTTATTTTAGGAAAGGAGGAGGAAAGAGTAGCAGTGACGAGT